TAGCATACAGAAAGACATCCCCCAGCAAAGGATGATTTTTTTTCTAGTTTCATCCATTTGCCTACAAACTTCATGATGCCATTTTTTTAACAGTTCAGTGATACTGCATTGTGTAATTGTACCACATTTTCTCTATCCATTCTTCAGCTGAGGGACATCTAGGTTGTTTTCAGTTTCTGGCTATTATCAATAAAGCCACAATGAACATGATTGAACAAGTGTCCTTGTGGTAGGATGGAGCATCCTTTGGGTATAGGTCCAAGAGTGATACAGCTGAGTCTTGAGGTAAATCAATTCCCAATTTTTTGAGGAACCACCGTGTTGATTTCCATAGTGGCTGAACAAGTTTTCATTCCCACCAGGAATGGAGGAGAGTTCCCATTACTGCACATCCTGGCCAGTGTGAGCTGTTACTTAGGCCTTCTGACTGGTGTAAGGTAGACTCTCAAAGTCAATTTAATTTGCATTTCCCTGACAGCCAAGGACACTGAACATTTCTTATGTGTTTTGTCAGCCATTTGAGATTTTTCTATTGAAAATTCTCTGTTTAGATCTGTACCCCATTGTTTAATTGGATTATTTCTTGAGATCTAGTTTCTTGAGTTCTTTATATATTTTGGATATTAATCCTCTATCAGATATGAAGTTGGTGAAAATCTTTTCCCATTCTGTAGGCTGCAGTTTTGTTCTATTGGTGGTGTCTTTGGCCTTATAGAAGCTTTTTAGTTTCATGAGGTCCCATTTATTAATTGTTGATCTTAGTGTTTGCACTGTTAGTGTTCTGTTCAGAAAGTTGTACGTGGATTTTTGTTTTGTTTGGTTTTTTGTTTGTTTGTTTGTTTTTCAAGACAGGATTTTTCTGTGTAGCCCTAGCCATCCTGGACCAGGATGATGTTGAACTTAGAGATTTGCCTGTCTCTGTCCACCTGCTGGGATTAAAGTCATACACCACCACCACCACCACCACCCAGCATGGGAGACAGCATCTTTTTTAAAAAGACTTCATGTGGGCTATTAGTGAGTAGCGATTTGAGCAAGAACCAGGTTGTAAATCCTTGTCTCCACCATGAGAGTGATGCTAGGAACTTGGCTAGGGTGGCTAGGAGAAGAAAGGAACTCATGACTTCAATATACATTTTTGTAAAAGGACTCAAGTCTGTCAGTTTTACCTCCAACAATCACAGGAACCAATGGTAAATTTATTCTAAATCTACATCGAGGTTCATCTGGAAAACTTCTCACTCATACATTTCATTACCTTGAAAAAAAAAAAAAACATTCCCACAAGAAAGCAATTACTAAATCAGACCAACTCAGAGCAAAGAGAGCCTGACTTGGTTCCCAGATACATTCATTTTTAAAATGTAAAATTACCCTCTGAAGTCTGGACTGGAGTCAGCATATAAGTCAGGATGTAGCTCAGTAATAGACTGCTCAGTTGGCCTGTGCAAAGTCCTGGGCTTAATCCTTGATACCACAAGCAAACACATGCCAAAAAGAAAAAAAAAAAAAGATTACATTGTGCTTTCTTTAAAAATATTCCCAAGAATCACAGAAGCATGATGAAGAATGTGAGACAAGAGCTTGGTCCCCACTAATTAAATGTATGCTGTTCTCTGTAGCACCGTCAGACTTCCTGGAATGTCTGAATGCCTCCCCTGGATGATCAGAATGGAAGAGGTATATAGTTCCCACTACCTTGAAAAACAAAAGAAGACAGACCCATACTTTTTGCAAGCCCTCTCCAAAGACAGGTACATTTTTGATTGGTGGCACTAATCTCAGTTCATAAATCTGTGAACATTCAAGCACAATGAAACATGAAAAAAGTAGTAAACGTGACATGGACTACATACATGTTTCCAGTGGAAGCAATGGAAACCAGCAAAGGCTTGCCAGGGAAGCCGAGGTCTAATTAGTGTTCTGTACTTGATGGATGAGGGAGCTACTGTAGATAACGACCTTCAAAAACGGCCTGGAAACTTCTGGAGACTCTGCCCATTTGAATAAGTATTCGCTTTCATTGCTTGGCTTCCGAGGCTCAGTTTCCAGCAAAGAGAAGATGAGTTTTTCAGCTTGTGTTGGATCTGCTTTCAACCTGTCCTGTCTTCACATGGTACATTAGTTGGGGCACACAACCAACACATACAATGAAGCTCCCCTTTAATTGTTATTGTTATGATTCTCGTTTTTATTTTAGTCTCTTGAACAAGAGCCAGTTCAAGCTAGGCTTGGGCTTCCAAGCCATTATCCCAAGAATAATAGCACCATTGCTCAGACAGAAAGCACTGAAAAACACTCAATGGTTAAGAGCACTGTCTGTTCTTCCAGAGGAGCCGGGTTCAAATTCCCACCACCACATGACAGTTCACAACCTCTTTAACTCCAAACACAAATTAAGTGGCAAGAGAAAGCCCCATTAAGTGTAGAAGACACTACCTGGAATCACTCTCCAGACTAGCTTTACAACCACATAAACAGAGCTATACCAGAGTATTTACCTTGCTAAGAGGCCCATCTTTCAAAGAACAGGAGCCATGGGTTTACAGCCACCGTGTAAGTCAGTATGGAGGATCCTCAAAAGACTGAAAATAGATGTACCATATAACCAAGCTACACCACACTAGGTATTTACCCAAAAGATTCCAAGTCAACATATCACAGCAATTCTTGCATATCTTCCATGTTTACTGAAGCACTTTTCACAATAACTTAGTTATGGAACCAATCTATGTGTCCATCAACAGAAGACTAGATAAGGGAAATATGGTCTGTATACACAGTGGAATGTTTTTCAGTCATAAAGAAACATGGAAGGTATGTAATTTGTCAAAATATTGATTCATATGGAGACAATCATATTAAAGCAATTACATCAATCTCAGAAAGACGAAGATCACACGTTTTCTCTCATTTGTGGGTCCTAGATTTAATATAAATGCATTCAATCATATATGCATAGATGGCATAAAGTAGAAACAAATTTGTCTGGGAAAGTTATTAGGAAAAGAGAAGGGGAGCAGGGCATGGGAGAACA